ATTAATGATATCGGCGACAATCTTCCGTCTCCCGTCAAATACAAACTCTTTGCAGACGATTGCAACATATACTGCAGTGGGAAAAACCTAGTAACCTCTTCCCAACTCCTTCAAGAGTCCCTAAACACACTAGCCATATGGTCCTCTAAGACTGGCTTTATTTTTTCCCCTACCAAAACTCAAGGCATCATATTTAATAAAAAAAAAAACTCACCTGCTCCTTCAATTACCCTGAACATGACACCATTAAATTTTTCGGACAACTTACGTATCCTAGGACTCATTTTCGACCACAAATTGTCATGAAAAACACACATCAAAAAACTAAAAACTAGTTGCATGGGTAGAATGAACATTATTAAAACTTTATCAAACCTTTCATGGGGTTCCGACCAGGATAGCCTTATATTAATTTACAAATCATTAATACTTTCACTTGTGAATTACGGTTCTGTCATTTATGGCACTGCCAAAGCTAAAACACTCTCCTCAATCGATCCGATTCACAATCAAGGAATCAAACTAGCCACTGGTGCATTTAGAACAAGTCCAGTGGTCAGCATATTGTGGAATGCCGGTGAACCTCCCCTCCATATCATTCGTAACATTAACACGGTTAAATACATGATCAAGATTTCGAACCAGCCAAAACATATATCCTCCTCTAACTTCCACCAACAATTTATAAATACTAAAATGGAATCCCCCACGACGATCTTTGAAAACTTCAATCAAATAAAGAAGAATATTAACCTTAATATAGATTTAACCAACAAGTCCTCCTTTCCAATACAAGCGCCTTGGACTTGGTCCCCGGATATTAATACGGATCTTCTCAAATATAATAAAAACGATACTCCAAACTCGTTCATTGTTTCCCTATTCTACGAATCTATTGACATCTTATACCACAACTACACTCTTATTTATACAGATGCATCTAAAAGTATAAATGGCACAGGTTTCGCAATAGTAGACGGTCCGCTTGTTAGAACTTTTCGACTGCCATCATTCTCCAGCATCTTCACAGCGGAATTCTATGCGTTATATATGACAGTCCAATTCGCTATTCAATCAGACTATAAGTATACACTCATAATAAGTGACTCTCTCAGCGCCCTTGACTCACTACAAGATCATCACCCTCAAAATGAAGTAATCTAACTTACCAAAGACCTTATTTCCTCGACAATAAACAATATTAAGTTTATGTGGGTCCCCTCCCACATCGGTATCCCCGGAAATGAAAAAGCTGATAAAATGGCCAATGAAGCAGTTACATCCTCAACCTCTACTTTCATAAATAAAATACCAAATAAAGATCTCACGAATGAAGCCCATAAACGGATTATAAAAACATGGCAAAATCACTCGGATTCAATACCCACCAGCAACAAACTCAGAAATATCAAAAAAACTGTGTCCAAATGGGCATATCCAGAGAACATATCCAGGAGAGAACAAATAATTATAAACAGATCCAGAATAGGCCATTCTCATATCACACACTCATATTTGATAACCAAGGAGTCCCCCCCGTCGTGTGACACATGCAAAACTCCCCTTACAATGGCACACATCATTATAGACTGTCCCAAACACTCATCCGCACGGGTCCTTCTCAATAATCCAAGATCACTTGAAGAAGCCCTCAGTCAGCAAAACTCCGGCAACATTTTTAAATTTTTCAAAAAAATAGATTTAGATAAAAAACTGTAAATATTATATATTTTAATTTTTTAATTTTTCCTTCTATACATTTTTCGCCTAAAATAATTAAATAATGTCTCCTTTTATATTGTAAAACTACAACATTTTGTAATCATAGGCTAATAATCATTGTTATTGAAGCCTTTATGTAAATAAAAAAAAAAAAAAAAAAAATAGTGAATTCACGGTCAAAACTGAGTGAAACAACTGTATTGTCATCAATAGAACGTTCTCGGGCTATAATATAAATTGCATATCACATATGTACATTTGAATCGTGCAGACTGTTATATAGCAATAACTATAATTGATTTATTCGAATACTATTGTGTGATTTAATGTCCGTGTAAAGTATATTGTAATATAATATATTTTGACATCATCAATCGAGCAATATAAAATTAAACGTGTGAGATCAAAAATCATTTTTAAAATTTGAAAAATATTTTATGAGTAGTAGCATTGATTATAAAATAGACAGATAGACATTGGTATAGGGATTTTCGGTGACTAAAATTTTATTTATAATATCTGCCAATAGGTAGCGTTGTATGAATTAATATTATATTATTAATACTGAGTACTGATGGCAAGTAGTAATAACATATTTTTAGACCGGTTTTTGGCAATGACAGAAAAAGCGATAAGCTTGTAAATTACTTTATCTACGATAAATGATATTTTCCGTGCATCGCACTATCACCATTCACCACAATAATGTAAAATTATTATTAATTATTTTCATATTCTGCGTTATTACATTGTGTTGTACGCGACCAAAAAGTAATTATTAATTTTATTACGAAAAATTAATTTATTTTACAATGCTAATTCAGTAAAATCTGCTTTGTAAAAAAATATTGTATTACAATTTACATTATACACAACACAAGATTTACCAAATTTTAACAATACAGCAAATTTTTATCCATATCATAGTTTTTTATAAAATAAAATAAATTATTTTATGTTCAAATTTAAAAATAATAAAATCGCAACAACATAAATAATACAATTAATGAAATATTATTATTATTATTTATAAATAAAATAATGCAGTTGTATTTTAATATTGAGTAGGTGTACATATTGAATGTGTTAAATTTAGAAACTAACAATAAATCTGCATATTATGAAAAACGATTGCGAGTAAAGATAGACCAAAATTACATTACATTGGAGTCTGGATTTAGAATTAATACATTTATTTAGAATAATAGTAAATTGTGATGTTTATTAGTTCTGAAAAGAACCGTTTTATAAAATTGAAGTAATTAGTCCTAAAAAGAACTGTTTAATAGAATCAACACAAAGTTCTGAAAAGAACTATTAAATGTGAGTCCTATAGAGGACAATTAATACTGCTTCTATTGTTTTATGCAAAAAGGTACAATGCCAGAACAAGAAAACATTTATTTAATTTAATTAAATATGGTTTAATATTTTTAATTTTGAAAGTTTTGCTAATTTTGAAGTAGTTGAAAATAATTTTGTTTTATTAAAATTTTGCAAATTAAGAGTTGTTCAATTATGTACATTTTATGATCTATGTAGTTTGTTAATGATTCATCAAGCCATTTTTTAACTATGTTATTATTTTTTACGCGCTCAATTAGTTGAAATTTTATTTATTACATTGTTTAAACTATTTGATGGTGCTTATCTCTTAATTACATAGTCATTTAGAGTTTATAGAAGAAAAATTATGCATATTTATTAAATTTTTAAAATTATAACGAGTACTAAGATTATTTTTTTTTTTTAATTTTGAAATATGAACTATTTTATTATGAATTATTTTGTTTTTTTTTGTTGTAATTTTTGCTTTAAATTCAATTTTCTAGGAGTATCTATTTCAATTGAATCAAGTTTTCTTCTTAAATTGGGGATAGACATGTGTATTATATTTGTTATTTTAGCTTTTTGTGTAGAAGAAAGTAAAGAAAGGGGACTTGGGAAAACTAACTCTACCATATTTGATTTTGAATGTGTATATGTTTTAGTTGGAGTTGATATTTAAATAAATTCTTGTTCAGGCTTATGATTTCCGTTTAAGTTTAAAGATGTACATAGCTGTTGCTCAGATTTATTATTATATAATAGAGAATAGCAGTGTTAGTTAAACGGTTTTTATTAGAAAAATTTGTAAAACTTTCAGGTGGGAAATGCTCTTGACAAATGTACCTATTATGCAGTTTTTCGGGTTCAATCGAAAATAGAATTGTGTTTCCTGTGAAGATCAATCAAATATTATTTACCCAAATTTATTATCCAAACTTCTCTTCTCTTGTCGTTTGGAAAACGATAAAGTCGTAAATTCGGAAACAAATTCCTCGACTTGCCACAATTCACATACTGACATTTATTGTCAGACATTTTCAGATAATTTTATACTCAAAACAATAAAAATTATTTTTTGTATTAAAGACTGATCACATAGATCACAGTAAGAGTTGGTAACTCAAAAATTGTCTCTCACTAACAAGAAACGACTAAACAGTAAACACTAAACAGCAGTCAATTGGATATTTAATGATATCGGTCATCGGATATGCGATAACGAATTATGAAATAATATATTCTATTTTTAGAACGACAACTATTGTACCCTCGCTCTTCCTCACCTTACTATGGTAGTGGTACCACCACCTAGAATCTGGACACCCTCCTCTTTGCTTACCTACCTATGAGAGGGTACACCACCTTTGCATCATTTCTACACTAGCGCTTATTTACCGGTTGCATCATAAACTAACCACTACACTAGTGCGTTTAGCGGTTGCATCATTTTCTGCACTAGCGCTCCATAGTGGCTGCATCATATGAATGGTCACCAAATATTAACATTACATTGCCTATCTGTCTATTTTATAATCAATGGTAATAGTAATAATAGCATTAGGTAATCTACCGTACGACGTTAATAATAAGTAATATTAACTAATAAGTTACTATTATATACTATTAAACTTTTGAACTGGTAAATAATATAATAATATTAAATACAAAATCAATAATGTCAAGGCCACGAGACAAGTTCCGAAAATATTTATTTGGTAGTGAGAAATTAAAAAAAAATAATACAATTTGAAGAAAACATAAACTCTGTAACGTCACAGTATTTTTTGTACCAATATTATTATAAATACAAACATACCTGTACCCATATTGCCACTAATAAGCGTACCTAATTTATACATTATTATGATTATCGCGCACTAATGCAGAAATTATCGCAGTATTATGCAATTAATGTTCCCCGTCCCCCCTTTACCATGCAGTGTTCGTCGCCGACGTGCCGCGGTTGTCCGCCGCCCGTCGCCTCCAGCGCTTTCGTCGCGTCCGCCGGTACGGCCCGCAGGCAATTATACCGTACACCCCAAAATATTGTAAAGTCCCGTAATATACCTACCCTGACCTTCCCCACTACGACATCAATTGGACAACACCGACCAGCGACCGGACGCCGTCGGCCAGCGGTCATCACTCATTTTTTCTGACTGAACCAGACATCAACGTCTCAGCTTTTTACCGTTTCTTTTTCTTTTTGGCTCGCTCACCCTCGTGGTCGGAC